GTCTCACCGATGCGCTCACGAAGCTGAATGCTTCTAACATGAACAGCAACGTCCGATCAGTCCAGCGGCTGACGTGGGAAATGCCAGCAGGCACGTTGATCTGACTACAATTACGCCGATCCCAAAGGGAACAAAGGTCACGCAGGCCTGTCAGCAGTCAGCCCCCGGGAGCTCTAAGCCAGTCAGCGGCAAATAGGCAGGTCAAAGTTCGTGCTTCGAGCACGGCTATAATACGAGGCAAGCGGAGAGACTGAACAAATCAAGACCGGCAGGGGCAACAAGTACGCTACTCTGATGGTGGAAACAAGGAAGTTTCCGAAACGTCAGTTCAAATACAATATGGTCCATGAATTCGCCCTCTCTTTTTCTTCTTCGTCTTCTTCGGGAGATAATGAACGCGATATATATGCTTGAATTGAAAAGGGCATCGAAAATCAACGACGAAATGCATACGACATAGGTGACTCTTTTCTGCTGAGAGTAATTCCTCCGGGTGACGGGAAGGAAACTCATTCAAAAGCCGACATCAGGACGTTACCAAAATATCTTCGGATTATGCTGCAGGGTGATTAATATTATGGCCTCACCTAAGTGATCGTTTCCAATCGAAAACTCATTTAGGAATTGCGGTTAATTCAAAAGAGCATTTGCCTACGCGCGCTTTCGATACATTCTCACCAGGTCAGTACATTTATATAAGAACAGGGTACAGAGTGAAACGTGCGAGCGATAAAACAAATCGATTATGGTTAGTCTTCCCACACAAGCGGGGTGTGTGTGAATAGGGGAAGGGGGGAGAGGAGGTAGTACGTGGAGGTGAGGGTTAGGTGGGGCCGTGTCGCAAGGGGGGGTGGTGAAGGGAAGGGTGGCACAGAGACATACATGCAGTTAATCGATCTTTGGCCACGGTAGACGCGGGGCGTGCAAGAAGTTCTTCTGCGCGCACAGGACTAGCCTCTGTAGCCCGATGGCAGCCGTTTCTGCTGTTGGTAGTAAGCTTTGACCCAGTCGTTTATAGTAGTTAGGTGGGACTCTGTAAACCACACGGAAGGCTTCGTTAGGGTCCACATGATGCCCACAATCAACCATGTGTGCAAGGATGGAGCTGTGTATGCTCTTAATTTCACCTTTCCTCAGCCATGCCGGCAGATGTTCTCGTATTCTTGTGGATAGGCGGCGGTTCGTACGACCAATACAGCCTGCCCCATAGAAGCAAGTAAAGGAGTAAATGCACACGGAGTTGGTCTGCGCTGGTAACTTATCCTTACCTTTCCCGCATAAAATGAGGTTGATCGAGAAAAATGCATGAACTCCTACTGACGGGGATTCCCGTGAAACGGCTGGGTCAAGGCGTTCAGCCACAAGAATACGAGAACATCTGCCCCCAGGAAGATCAAGACGTTTTCGGGAGCGAAAACCCCCTATCCTAACGATTGCATCTGCTTTTTCTGAAGCTGAGGCTGCTGGCTGAATGACAACCTTACTAAATAGCTTTTGTTCATTAGCCGAAATCCCATAGTCTGTTAACGTTACTTGACTAAATTCCTCCTAATATCCACTGAAACCGCAACACTGTTCTGGGCGGTGATAGAAGGGAACTACAACATCTTAGTTCCCCGGTATTTCTGGGACTGCAACAGGTAAGTCCGTGAGATTCAACTCAACAGTTCGACCACCAGCTTTTGAAACACTGCTTTTGATGTTACTTCACTTATATGATGCATATGACCACTTTTTTAGGTATTATTAATTCTGAGTTCGGTTCAAACGTTCATAAAAGGAATTGGTTTGTAAATAAAAACGTTATCCCTATTTAAAGCGTCCGAGTGCCTTGTTACCTATTGATGTCTCAAAAAGTTTCTCTGATGCAACTCGTTTCTCTGAAATCCTTAATCTACAAACTTACGAAAGCGCTCCAAATGATTCTGTGATGGTGTATGAGAGCGAGAGATGAGTCTTCACCTGTCACGTTTTTTAAAGTTGACGCTCTATCCTATCGATAAGCGACATCTCCTGGAACGGTACCATCGCGAATACAAGTTAGCTCAAATCGTTTTGGTTTTCACGCTACTAGAGGATCAATGAGTTAACTTCACGGCTTCATCACTATCGAAATAGTTGGGGAGGAAGAATTCCAAGGCCAAAAGTCAGCCGTGGCAGCAGTTTGCGCAGCAGAACATTAGAAAGTGGAAAATGGAAATTTGGAAAGGACCGCGGTCTGACGTAAATGGTAATGTTCTCTCAACCTAATGAGTTATATCTCACGAGCCCCTAGCCTTAAAGGCAGCAAGTAAAACTGAGCAGTGAATGATACAGAGATCATGAACGTTAAGTAACCTGAAAACAGAGCGCGACAGCAAAGCAGGCCAGCAAGGCGGGTTGTATATGTGTGTTGTTTTTCTTTACATTCAAACAAGCAATCCGGGCAAAGAAAACGGGACTGAATTGGCAAAGGCAAATTAGTCCGGCACCTCACCACAGGTCCACGACAAGGTGCGTGAAAGGTTCACTGCTCTCTCAACCCCCAAGCAGGACGACGAAGTAATGAATCCTTCTGGAATTAGTGTCTATGTGTTTTACTAACACGCAATGCCCGCAGCAATATCGAAATGCTATTTAAAGATAGGGACTGCCTTTCTCATATCATATCGTGATAATGAGACTTAGTGGTCGGCTGAAAACGCTCAAATCATGTATGCCTCGCTTTCCTGACGCAAACGCTTTGGCGCATTTTCTGGACAAAGATTTCTATAGAATAAATAGTCACGCACAACTGTTTACAACAATTCTCCGGCAAAGACGAAGTCGGCAGCTTCAGAGAAAAGGTGAATGAAAAAAACAGATTTTACGGTATGGAAGAAGGGTTTTAGGAGATGGACGCATAACCAACCGTAATAATTGGACCATCCATTCTTTGTCTGAGATTTAAAGCGCCCCTAGGTCGGTCACCTCAACACGAAGGTTCTCGCTGTAAAACCACGTCACCCTGCCTGAGAAATGCAGTCGCTCGACTGCCTGCCACACTTTCACTCTTATGTCCAAACAGTCACAGCCGCCCATGCCTCATTTGATGCAACGGTCATAGTCTGAACACAAGGAGACCACCCCCTCAGGTACCGAAATGCACACCCACACGGCTTGAATGCAGACACTCTTAGTCTAGCAACTTACACTCCCCTCCCCCCTCTGACGGTCAAGACTCAACACTTAGGACACTTCAATAGTAGTGAAAATCCGATTCCCAGGTGGCATATCAAAAGAAGAGTGGACGTTCACCGGGGGGGGGTTTATTTGAGATCCGACGTTTCGGGTAGTTTACTCGTCGAAGGGACCACGTACGAGCAGATCATGGGCACTCCAATGGGTTCACCAATCTCCGGACTCATTGCCGAGGCGGTTCTACAAAAACTCGAGAGACGACTATTCGAGGAGTACAAACCCAAGTTTTGGGCACGCTACGTTGATGACACCTTCGTGATCATAGACCAGGATAAAATCAACTACTATGCGGAAGTACTGAACTCAATCATGCCCGATCTACAGTTCACGATGGAAGAGGAAGTCGAGGACAAACTTCCATTCTTGGATGTTCTCGTCTGCCGCCAACCAAATGGCGAACTAGCGACGTCGGTCTACAGAAAACCGACGAACACGCTGCAAATTCTCAGCTACAACAGCAACCACCCGCCACAACACAAACGAAGCTGTGTCTGCACGCTGTACCGACGGGTGGAAACTCATTGCAGCACGCCAGCCGCCAAACTGAATGAGATAAAGCTCCTCCGAGAACTTTTCAAAGCCAATGGCTATCCGCGGGCATTCATTGAACGAAGCCGGAGGCAGCCAAAGAAACGGAACGAGGAGCATAGTCAGCCAAACTCGTGGCGGAGCATTCCGTACATTAAAGGGGTCTCCGAAGTCGTGGCTCGATCACTCGCTCCACTCGGAATAGGTGTTGCCCACAGGCCTGACTCAACAATCCGCCGGCAAGTGATGCGGCCGAAAGACCCGATCCCTAAGCAGGAGATGTCGGCCGTTGTCTACCGACTTCAATGCAGCTGCGGAAGTTGCAACTACGTTGGGGAAACCGGCCGACGGCTGCAAACGCGAATGCACGAGCATAAGTTGGCCGTGCGAAGGTTGGACCCAAAGTCGGAGGTAGCAACCCATGCCGCGCAAATGGGACACATCTTCAACTTTGACGCCGTTGAGATTGTGGGCCGGGGCAGCGATCACACAGCAAGGCAAGTGCAAGAAGCCTGGATGTCCACCGACCGCTCTGTCAACCGCCATATGAATTTGCCTCCCCCTTATCTGACTTTACGAACCTTCTTAGCGGGGGACAGTCACGGCGCGGGACAATCGGGGCCATCAGTCATCACCGCGGCCGACGGGGGCGATTCAGGTCACGGTGACATGCGGGTTGGATGCAGCCACACAGGCGGCATTGGCGGATCACGCATTGGACAAAGGGTGCCATAATAAGGTGTGCTGTGCACAGGACCTCCCAGTCCCTGAAGATGGGTAGACGAGTAAACTACCCGAAACGTCGGATCTCAAATAAACCCCTCCCGGTAAACGCCCACTCTTCTTTTGACTTAGTACACTCCCTGACCTCGCTAATGGCCACCCCCGACGCGGGCGCCGTCGCCAGAGGTCGCGATTCGGCTCTCCATGGCTTGTAAACACCTTGACCTGGTGTTTTTAGTCTTATCCTGGCAACCGGGGTCGGACATTTTGATTAAAGCGCTCCAGGCACAGTCGAAGTGGTGGACCAGAGGGAACATCGGAAGAAATAAGGAGGCATTTCTGAAGAATGAGAAGGAATGCGCAACTGGCTGCCTTTGCAACGCTCCTGAGCTCAGTAGGATGCTAGTTTGCTCAAGAACCGGAAGCGATTAATCTGCGCACGCGAAGAACCAATCAAACCACAGCTGGCGGATTGACATGATTATAAATCTGATGGCGCCATCGCGACCGGTAAGTAAACACACTTCGACATGACGGCTAAGCTCTTCGCGTTGGCTCTGCTGGCGAATCTGGCCTTGGCAGATGTTTGGATGGCGCCTGTTAAGACGGACGAAAACGGTGAGTAGGTCACAGGGCTTCCATGCCCGCACGTTTGACTCGCTATGTACCTGCATGAACTCGCCTGTTTTACCGATTATCACAAGGGCGCACTGCATTCAGGTCAACTTTTCCAACTAGGCTGCCTTAATATTAAGAATGTACACATTGTTGATTGTGATAGATTAGCTTTAGTGTGCCCACTTCAATGGGTAAAAGAAACGTCAAGAAATTCCGATGGCCACCTCTGCCATACTTGCCGTCATCAGTTAGTCCTATTCTACCTCGGGAACGTTAGCACTTGAGATCTGGACCCGGCTTCAGTCGGAGTCACCCTCCAACGGCTGGAACAACGGCCATACACTTTACGTAAACGTTCTTATCTTTGTGTTGAAGAAGGAGACACGATCGCCAGGACAAGAGCTTTATTAGCCTGACGTTTCGGATTCCTACTCGAATCCATCATCAGAGACAAAAGAGCAGAAACGGGTGGTTGTTGCACAAGGGGCTGACTGGCTCGTTAGTGGAATTGAGAGGGGGAAACTGTCTACTCTTTCGACTGACAAGACTTAGTGTGGAGATGTTGAGCACTCAGTTCCCAGAGGTTTTTCCACTGAAATGCAAAGTTCTTTTCTACAATAACTTATCAAAGCAGATAAAACCGTCAAGATACCCGGTGGACGCTCCTTCTAACCACAACCGGGATTTGTTCAAGCAACTATTTCTGTAAATATCGAATGAAACCACAGGCCAAATGCCAGAAAATGGTCCTCTATGTCTCATAAGATACCTCCCCTAATGCATTGGCTAAGACCAGCTTTTTTACTGCAATACATTAAGCCTCATTTAGAGAAAGGAAGGAACCCTATCGAATTAGGTCTGCGCTGATACGTAACTTTAATCGGTGATCTGCTTATTCCTTTTTCACAGGAAACAAATACATTACGTTCGGCGATAGGAAGTTCTACCTCAGGGACGGTGAGGACGCAGAAGAGACGCTGGTTGTGAACGACTGTGTAATTGACCTGGACCTGAGACTTACGAGTGACCCTCCGTTTGAAAACTTTCGTCAGGGACGTCGGTAAGTCATAATTTATCAGCTTGGTGCTGACCGTAGGGTCGCAAACGAAAAGTATTGTGACAGTTAAAAGTAAGACGTATTTCTTTTAAACACGTCTGATCAGATCAAGTAACAATGTATCTGAGGGGACGCCGTTTACCACCGGAGGTTTTGCAGAGGTGTAGCGCCGGTTTGTGTCAGCCAGGCACACTCACGACGGTCATTCTGCCAGTAAATCCGCCTTGATGCAGTAAATTCAGTTATACTTACGGGCAGAAGTAATTTAGCCGGGGTGTTTTAATTTTGATGGTCTGAGCTGTCCGCTGTAAGTACGAACGTCGAGGGCGGATAGTAAATTCCAGTAGTTAATCACCGCAACGTTCTCCTGTCTGCAGGCCGAAAATGGCTGGTAACCTATTGTCCTCGAGCGCCGGGGAGTACAGCTTGTGCAGGTTGTTACACAGGAAAGAGCATCGAACAGTCAGAGGAGTAAGGGAATACCATACTAAAGGCACAGGTACTAGCCAAAAGCCCATACACGCGTAATATTCACTATCTGCCGACAAGCAGCTAGTAGTATACTTTGGGGTAAGAGGATACCATACTAACAGCATAGGTACGAGCCAAAAGCGCATACACGCGTGTTTCGCCGATATTCTGCCGCTGGGGGACCCACTGATGAGCCGAACCTCTCGCAACGGTATCATGCAGCGGCAGAATATCGGCGAAACACGAGTGTAAGAGCTTTTGGCTGGTACCCGGGCTGTTGATATGGTATTCCCTTATCCCAAAGTATACTACTAGCTGCTTGTCGGCAGTTAGTGAATACTATGCGGTTACCCGTTATGCCTGATGGCTTTTGGCCTAAATATTCATGCAGAAAACTTCGGTCTGAGCCTATAGACCTAGAATAAACTGATCTTCTCTAACTTTGTAGATAATTTCTGAGGAAATTAAAAAGCAACAGTCAGAAGAGTGCTACGGTCAGGTAACACTGTTTGTTCTATACCACAATAGGTAGAACTTGAACGCTGTGGCTGAAGTAGTAAGAGCATTTGACTTAAATTTCAAGTGACACACTGGACCTTGGTCCAGCTGGGCGCCAGCACCCAGCAGTGGGCCATCGTCAACCGAGAGCAGTAATTTAACTAGAAATGACCATTCCGGTGTCTTTCGTTTTAGCTTGCAATAATTCCTCAGGGAGAATGTTGACAGTATTTTACAGGGCTGCCAGGGCGACAATGATACAGGAATGATAACCAGTAAGTAGGTGTTTTGACAGGTTTGGAATAATTCATTTTGCCCCAAACGTGAAAAACACGACGACCTCAGTGGGATTCGAATCCACGGCGGCAGGGGTAACTTGACCCACATGTAATGAAACTCAGGGCTCCCAGTGGGGTGTAGAAGCTGAGGTGGCCAGAGCCGTTGGCTGCACTGAAGCCTTCCCCGCTCTATCTTGGATTCGAATCCCACCGACGTCGTCAAGTTTTTCAGAGTTGGGTCAAAACACATGATCATTAAGCGTTGAATTCTTCGGTATTCCCAGCGACGCGTATAAGCCAACATACAGATTGCGGTTTGCATACTTGTTGCTCGGACCAACGAAGGATTCAACAGTGGATACGCCTGCCAATGAAATCTTTAGTCAGTTTTCATTCAAACGAGTCAAATTTCCCGCCTAAGTTTAGATGAAGAAACTAGTTAATTAAAAGAACATGGTTCATGCCGAAAAAGGGTACAACAGGAGAAGGGAAGTGCCAACAACGGGGAGCAGAATTGAAAGCACTTAAGAGCGGGAAGTGGAGAACTCCAAATGTTGACCAGAAGGATATAACAAATCTTTTGAATATTTATGATTGAGACTTGCCGTCAGTGTCACAGAACTGTACATTAGTCAAGGTGAACATGCCTGGACTGGCCTCAAGTCTTATTTCCCAAGGCTAGCCTCATTTGATTATCTGGCTGTCGTTGAAGCCATACCTTTCTACCAGAGCTTACTCACCACACAAACAATGCTTACGAAAGACCAAAATTAGGTCGGCAGGTGAAAGCGGATTTATAATTTCAAGTCTGACAGGCAGCCCAACGATTGAGTATGCGTGCAAGCATAGTAAAATTTTAACACTGCTCCTTTTTGTATTTACGTTTGTGACGGATGTTTTTTTCCAGCAGATCGGATCTTGAGGATGCCACTGTTGTTTTTGTATCCAAAACGCTAACATCCTGTTGTCCTCAAGTCAGCCGGAGGAAGCGATTATCCCAAAAGGCACACTGTAATCTGTTGGATAAGGGTGCAAGGCGAATGGCCGTCGGACACTAGAATAGCCGGGTGACTGGAGGAGCAATTATCGCTATTATTGATGGCCGTTAGATACATGACGATTAAAGCGACTAGAGGTCTATAAACAGGGGAACTACTTCAGAAGTTATTTCCGATGACCTACCGCGTAGCCTGGAGAACGCACAAGTGAAATTACTGCTTACTCGGTCAATCGAAGGATGTCCACTTTACATACAGCAGGTTAAAAGCAAACAAAGGGAAGGAGGGGCAGAGACAAATAGTGGCGCGCTATTTGGAACGACTAATGCATTCGACGGACAATTGGTTTTTCAGTTGCTTCCCGCAAAATAAAAGGTTTACAGGGGAAAGTAGGCAGAAGGAATAAAAGAAGAATCGAAGGCAAAAGACAAATCTTGGAAACCTGGCAAACTTTTAGGTCAGAGACTGGTATTGCCCCTGACGGTATGAATATTAGGGAAGAATAAAGTTTTCTAATATGGGAACAGGCGGAATGGTAATTGGAAGACCATGTTTTTGCATGGGTTCTAGGCGTGGGATGAAAGGAGGATATCAGAGAATTATAAGTTATCATGTCACTATAATGAGTCGATTACTCAGAGGCTAAATATGAAAGCACAATCGAGACGCTTCCGGCAATTCACCAATGTGCTGTCTCTAGAGGATTACTCGCAGGTACTCTTTTGTTCCACATGAAGGCGTTGCTTCATCGACCTGACTGAAGGACCTACTCGTTGTTTTTGCCTTTTAGCTTTAGTCTGCACACAGTCACATAGGAAAAAGGAGTAAATAATTCAGAAGGAATATAGATGAAGACTTGGATATCCCTTTATGGTTAAAATGCGGCTATCGGGGATTGACACATGGTCGGTCTACGCCGACAGATGTTCCAGAAATTATCATTCCAGCAGGTTTAATCTTTGTCCATGTGCCTCCAGCCATATTTAATCAAGGGACAGTGCACAGTGTTCAACAGGAGATCCATATGCATACAGTTAAAGAATTTTGCACTAACGGTGGTAAGTCCTTATAGAGTTTTAATTCACAAACCTAAAGACGAAATATTTGCACACCAAATCTCCTTATTGTTAAGCTAAACGGTTTAGTATGACAGGTCGATTTTAAAAAATGGGGCAAATAAACAGCTGTCCTACAGCCCGAGTGAAACCCGGTGTACAAGACTAGAAGTAGAAAGTTAACTTGTCAGTAAACCTGTCGTTACTTTTTTGAAGACAAATGCGAGCATCTTGATTAAAACGTGGAATTATATATGGTCGTGGATAGCTGCGTATGGGTTGATTTGAAGCGTCCAGCGTTTTTCAGGGATTCGTAAGGGGTGACATCCAAAGAGACTCGCCCTATGTCGGATAAATCACAAATTGCTCTAGGAAGTCTGTTGTACAGCGTATAGAGGGTTACCTTGAAGGTCTTCCTCGCAACAGGATTGGCTGACTTCCAACACCATCAGAGGTTTGTTATTTTCTTTTTTAAAAATTCCTGTGAAATGCTGTTCGCTTTCACGTAGGCTCTATGGAAACAGCTAACTTTCCAACTGGACGGGTGTAGGTGTTATCCATTTTTTGCGGCGACAAAACTTAGACGCAGATAGGATTTCCTCTGTGATCAAAACGAGTAAAGTCCCCGCTGAGGTCATTTAGGCATATGACATCAAGAAAATCAGCCTACACCCTCGTACAGCAAGGAAATGCCCACTGTAACTAGCATCTGACAACCGACGCCATCCTAACTATCTAACACCGATTAGTTTCCTAAAAATCTCTGAACAGCATGCGAGTTATGCTGTGCGCCCAGTCTTTTAATTTTGTTAAGATTAAATTTGAGAATATGCAAATATGCTGCTGAGACATTGGAAGATAGAAGAAATTACCTAAAGAAACATTGCGTGGGCATCAACCGGTATATAGTAAAAAGGATGATAGAGGTGTGACAGAGGACACAAAAGACCACTGACTACCGTTGGACTTTCCAGCCTCATCGATGGAGCCTGCGAAATCGGCGCCTGACTACTGTTTAAGCCTGCGAAATCGACGCCTGACTACTGTTTGAGTTCACTTTTCCGTCCAAAAATAGAAAAAGGTGAATATGGGTATGGTCTTCCTGGAAGTCAAATAATCCTTTGAGTGGGATAAGATCTGCGGACAAAGAGACAGGTAAAGGACACAGAGTTCGAGTTAAGAACAGACATAAACATCGAACGTGAAGACCGGGACCGGAAAAATGTCTGTCTCAGGCAGTTTGACCGATCCAATGTGATAATTTAAAAAGAAAAATTTTGTGCCGTAGGGTCGGAAAACGGGCAAAACCTATATAATACAAACGCATAATGCATGAGGTCCATTAAGATGAAAAAAGACAAAGATTAAACGAAAATGTCTCTACAGAAACAGAAGTCAGTAGCCCACCCATTGAGTGAATAATACCCGAAGACAATGCTGAGATAGGGCTCTTGGAGACTGATGTGAAAACCACCGCGAAAAATCGGCAGGAACAAAAAATGAACTATTATCTTAAATCTCGGACTACAGAGCAGTGGACTTTACTAAATTATAGAAAACGCTGACATCCCTCGATAAAATGCTACGAGTAATTAGTGTAAAAATATTTGCGTCCAATACGTATTTCATTTATTGTCTCTTCGGACCTAATTTCCTCTTTAGAATTTGCAAAAGCATGATGCACGGAGTCCCCGAGGAGGCCTGGAAATCCTATGTCAAAAGTCGCCTGGGTGAGAGGAATGAACAAAACGGCAGAGCCAATTATCAACTTGATGCCTAGCTTGGTTGCCTAGAAATCCCTTGCTTCTGTGATTGTGACTGTACAAACACAGCCTTAATGATATAAATACCTCTTAATATTACTTATAACTTCTGTTTACTGTGTGTTGTCTATCGTTACCATTCAGCTACTTACTATTTTCAATACATACACAAAGGCTGTCGGTAACCGAACAAGAGGGCACTTATTCTTAGATGTCGGGGAAGTGCTCCTACCTTGTGACGCGGGGACTTTTAAAATCATCCATTGCGAAGAAATGAAAAATTTAAGTAGTTACTAGCAAAGTGCATCTGGCAAAACAGATTTTCTAGGGATTTCGAATCAATGCTGGGAGTTTCATTTTTGGCGGCGACTTTTTTGCATTTCAAGATTTATTGCGTTAATGGGTCGATAATGATTACGAGTTTTACCCGACGGAGTGGTAGACCACTTGAAACGCAGTTGTCGTTGATTCCATGATGGGGAAGAAAGGCATCTTTCCGAGGATGACACTTCTGAAGCGCAACCAACCCCCACTTCAGGGCACTTTTAATTATGACGACCATCTCAGAAAATGCAACTTGTACGGAATTAATTCAGTCGGCCTCGTTGTTGAAGACGGGTTTCGATGAGTGTGGCCACGTCCACATGAAATCGTGCCAAGCATTCCACGACCAAAGCGGTTCTCCTGACTTGTCGACTGACCAATAAACTATCTAAAAGAGATTGAGAATTCCAAGCTGCCAGAATGAGTGAGATCGTTCTGGTAAGAAAGACAATAGAGTAGAGACGAGGATTGTTGTTTTGCATTTTGTTTACCATGCTTTGGTCGTGGTCATCATGAAGACAGCATGCTTACAAGCACTCGCTTTGGTCACGCTTTCTAGGCTCTTTACCCGTGATGGAGTGAGAAAAGCTTCTCGAAATACAGCTATTGGACATTACGGACGACTGCTGAGTTCCACTACAGTAGGTGGGCTAACTCATGAAATGTCAACAGAAATTCCGAAATGCGTTTTCGTTTCAAAAAGATTAGTTAAATAGAGTTGTAAAAGTAACCACCGCGCAGCATAACTCTATCATAATTCAGTTGCCTTAGGGTGCCGGCTTTCAAATGAACTCATTTACGACTGCATGTAAGAACTATACTCTGTAAGGAATGACTATTTAATTAGCATGCATTTTTCTCATTTATTTTCGATGCCCCTAAGAGTCCAATTATATTTCATGGAAAACACGAATAAAAATATTCATTTTTCTGCTCATTCGGTAAAAATTTACGTCTTCTTCCAGTTTATGCTCGACAGAAGGGTATTATTCGGTTTTCAGCAACTTTTCCAATTCCCGAATAATTTTGAACTTGCTCTGCCGTCACACTTGCATACAGGGTATCCAAACTACAAGCCATGCATTTTCCGCGTACAAGAAACCACCCATTACGGTATTGAGGGGAGACCGTATGGGGTTCACGAAATTTAGCATTGAATCTGATCCATATTTTTTAACTTTGTAAGCCACACTGGTAAATGCCGAGACATGACGTTTTACGAACGGCCATTTCACGGTATTTAAAAGTCTCACAATTAGAAACTTTTTTAAAACCGTATTATGTCCCTTCTTTGAGTAAAAAATTGAAAGAAGACATTATGTTCTACCGCAGAACAGAAGAATGAATATTTTATTAATGCCTTCCATGAAATATAATTGGACTCTTAGGGGCATCGAAAATCAAAGACAAAAGTGCATGCTACTTAAGTAGTCATTTCGTACAGAGTATAGATTTTGCATTCAGCCAGAAAAAAACTCGTTCGAAAGCCGGCATCCAGAGGTAGCTGAATTATTATAGAACCACACTGCAGGCTGATTAGTTTTACAACCCTACTTAATTAATCTTTTCAAAACGAAAACGCATTTCGGAATTTCAGCCGACATTTCATGAGTTAGCCAACCTACTGTATATTGGTTTGACAGGGTAACGAGCTGAATTGGCTCGGACCACACACATCACTATCCACGTTTCCTCCAGGACTTTGAAAGTTGAGTGGCCTACGCCAACGGATACTAGCAAAGGCCGAGGCAGTGCATATACGGCTGGCGAACCCGGTGCTATGCTGTCAGAAAACCCTGACACAAACGCTCTCTCTGCCGTGGCCAACGTCAAACTCACGTGATGACGAAATGCCGCCTCAAATCTTTGATTAAAGTGATGGGTACTCCGTGTACTCAATC